CAAAATCATGCCGAATGAACATAAATCTTCCCTTAATAGCCTGTCTCTGTGCTGCATACCTGTTGAAAGTGTGTGAAAACAAATTTGGCAAGGATTTTTCTGCCAGGAACTTATGAGCCTGTGTGCACATGTGTAAGTGTTTTTCATTTGAGGAAACTGATGGCACTAACATTAGTAAAGTAAGAAGAAAATTGTAAGGACTGTTGGGAACTGTTACCCTCCACACCTAAACTGAGTGAAACTTGAAAATATCTTCTTTTCTAAGGTGGGGCTGAAGACCTGGGCATATTACTAAAATTCAGAAGAGAAGAAGGAGGAACCTGTTCTGTTGCACGAGAATCAAGCTGGGCCATAAGGAAAGAGATCTCTGAGCCAGGCCTGGACGAACAGGTAGAATACTAAAAGGTGAAGTGAAAAGAACTGAGTGCATTCCACCAGGAGGGGACAAGACCCGAAGGTGGAAAAACGCTAAAGGAACAAAATAGTCTGCAATCAAACACAAAGTGCAATAAATGTGAAATACAATTAAAGATGTATTTGTAGGTACAACTATTATGTATATATTGTAGATAAGGAAACTGAAGTCCAAAGAATTTAAGTGATTCACCTAAGGGCAAACAAGGACAAACTGGAACTAAAACCAAGGTTTTACATTCCCAGGTAGGTGTTCTTTCTGAAATAATATTCTGGCTTAGACTGGGGATGCATTATAGTGGGTGGGAGAGAATATTCCTTTGAAAAGTAACAATAAGTGAAGAGGTTGTTAATTGTCTGAAGACCACATGGCTGAATAACTGCAGTGGTGTTGATAAGAGCCGGGGTCTCTGGGAGAGCCTGTCCAGGGCCGCTGGCCCACCATCCGTCTCCCCCAGAGGCATAGCTCTTACCCATTTATATTTTAGGACTCAACTGACTAAGAAGAGTTATAAACCACAGGGATTATTAGGAATGTAAATGAAAAGGAGTTCATTTTTCTTCTTCTTTATTTTGACTGCCCAACATCAGAAGAACTGAGCCAATTGAGGCTGAGGATCAAATAATATAAAATTTTATTTTATTTTATTTTTTTTAATATTTATTTTTTAGTTATAGTTGGACGCAATACCTTTATTTCACTTATTTATTTTTACTTGGTGTTGAGGATCGAACCCAGGGCCTTGTGCATGTGAGGCAAGTGCTCTACCGCTGAGCCACAACCCCAGCCCAATATAAAATTTTAAAAGTGGGAAACAGAAATACATTGTAATGAATGTAGAGTTGGGAGGCCTGAGTTCTAATACTGACTGGTTCTACAAATAAAAGTGGTGCTGGCTTTTGCAAAGTACTTCACCTCATAAAATTTATAAAATGAAGAGGCTGATCTAGCTGATGTCTAAGATTACCAAATTATAATTTTCTGTGATTTTCTGATTCCTTTTGTGGACAAAGGAATACAGGAAGAGTTGAAGGTAAAATGAAACTTTGGGAAGCCATATACAATTTCTGAATGCAACAGGAATGTGCCCTATTTAGACACACATCAATCAATCCTGTAATTTGAATTTTTGTTTATAGAACTTTCTTATAACAGAGTACAATTAATAAATAAAAAGAACACACAAATTATCAGTTCTAAGAAATGGGAAAAAGGAATAGGAATCAACTAGGAAAGCTAGGAAGGCGTTCTTTCAACTTAATCCATAGACTTTCTTGTTGCCTATTATTGTTATTAGGAATATATATGGGTATTTAAAATTCAGCAAGTATTATGATTCATTAGAGAGTATTTTCTGTAGTGAAGACAGAGGGACACTTTCAACAGTCCTTGACTTTATACACCCCCCAAAAAAAAATTGGGGGAGGAGGCAAATGAATTGAGAATTGATAGGTAAGACTTCCTAGTTTGAAAGAAGGGAAGCCAAAATTAAATGAGCCTAAGAAAATAGTCGGGGGGGGGGGGGGCAAGAAAAAAGGAGAGTTCAAGTTCTTAAAAATATGTATTTGTTTTGGCTTACACATATATAAAGAAACTCTGGCAGATACTGCTATCAGTGGTTGTCAGTGCAGAAGACTAAGGGAGAAGGCATATGAGGGACAAGGATAAAAGGGAGACTTTTACCAAATAAATACCTTTGAATTTTTAACCAGTTAAACGTATTACCTATTTTAAATGGTAAACAAATAAAATTATTAAATGCCCCTTAAACTCAAATATTTGTATCAATTGAAAAATAAGAATCCAAAGAAAGGAGGCATTAGAGCAGAGTACCAACAGGTAAAGAAAATGAAAAGTTGTAGCACTGGGAGGTCTGAGGAATTCAAAGAGAGGAAAATCCAGGTTGTTGCAGTGACCAGCTGGAAAAGTCACTGTGGAACCCAAAAAGAACCTCAGAAGCTTGGGACAGGCCAAACCAGCCCCCAACTGGAATAAAGAACAGCTTCCTGAAAATCTGATATACAACTTGCATGGCCCTGGGTGCCTCAGGAATGTGGAATCCAAAATGGGATGACACCAGAACTTAAAAATAATAGGGAACTGGTTCTCTCTTACCCCCAAAAAAGAAAGAGGGAAGGAACTAACTAAAAAACAAGTTTCTGGAAAAGTGATAAAAATGATTTATTAGTTATAAAATGAGACCTGAGAAAAAAATAAAGGATTCTGCTTGTATCATTTAGCACAGAAAAGAGATAATATTTTGCTAAGATTTATTTAAGGCAGCCCTTGAAATGCAAACAGAAAGGAATGTCCTCTTAAAGTCACTTCTACATTCATGAATGTTTGATTTGTGGGTTAATTCCCAGTGTGCTTCCTTGTAGGAGAGGCCCTGCTAATTTAGCATAGTGCAAGGCCTAATTAGTAAGAAGTATTAGTAATACTAGTAAGATTTGCAAGTGAACTCAAGGAAGCACATTAATTTTAATCAACTGAAAAATTCCTCACTTAAAAGTACAATGTGGGGGCTGAGGGTCGTAGCTCAGCAGCAGAGCATTTGCCTAGCATGCACAAGGCTCTGGGTTTGTTCTCTAGCACCATAAAAATAATTAGAAAAGTAAATAAAAGTACAATATATATACTTCTGAAATGCTAGCAGAGCTTTCTTTCTCTTAATGCCTCCACAACTAGGTTTTGTTTGTTTTATAATAATCATTAACTGAGTGTTTGTATTTTATAAACAGTTTTTTAAAGAGTACCCCCTGCCCCCCTCCAAAAAAAATTACAACTAAGGTTATCCTTTCCAGGGACAATTTACCTTTGTGGCAAAGCCAAAGGCTCAAGTCAGACTTTCTATCATGCTGAGCCAGTCCCATAATAGAGCTACATCAACAATTTGGCCTATCCAAAGAATAACACACATCAGGGCCAGAGACCTACTCTCTTTGAAGAGTTCTCACTTGCAATCCAGACCACTGAAAACTGAGGCATTGGAAGAGGAAAAAGAAACAACAGGGCAGGAACCAGAGGTAAAGGTACAGAAGGGAAAATGGGTTCTGAGAACTAATATATCTATATATTTTTCAAATCTTAAGTCAGGTTCAAGAAAACAAAGTTTAGTTTGTATATGAGTTGGAAAAATAAATAGTTTAGACCCAGAGAGATAAAGTGACTTGCTAACAGTCATGAATCCTTTTGTGAAGTTTTTTTCCTTCATGTAATTTTTCCCATATAAATTATTTGTGGTATCTTGGACAATACATATTTTAAAAAGTAAATAATATACAGTGAATTATTGTAGAGTCAAAATTCCTTACTTCCAGTCTACTGTTCTTTATATTTCTTCAACTGGAAAGATTTAGACCACTGGTTCCATTTTTTCTTACTATATAACTACTCTACGCAGGAACAGAAGCACCTGGGTAAAGAGCCATTTTGTGTAGAGCTGTCTTAAACTCCTTTTGTCATCCCAAACTAAAAATGCCTCCATAGCTATAGCTAAATCTGTTACTTCTATTCCATTTTCAAGTCAAAAAAGCTTAACTTTTTTCTCAAATTGAAAGACAAAAATGCAATTTAGTTAAGGGCAGTTTTGTTAACAGAGACAGTTTAGTTAAGTTTTATATTGTAAATATATAACTACACAAAATCATTTCCCCCGTTATCTGGAAAAAACCTATCAATCTAATTCTTTATAATTCTTTAAATGGCATCTGTTGGATAGCAGTCCCCTAAAATGTATTTGATGTTAGCCCTCAGGATTCAATGGCTAATTGGTTAGCTGGTGAAACATCTTGGAGGCTTTGCTTCTCTATCTGTTGCTTTGTTTCAGTAGATAACTATGAGAAAGAAAACTAAGATTTAGTCAAGTATTTGGGAAGTCTGAAACCCTTGGCCAAAGGAAGACTGGTATTTCTTTCACCTGTGTTTCCTACTACAGGAAGAACAGAATTGACTTTGCTGCAAGAATCCATCCAGACAACTATGTAACAAGACCAAAGACCTGGAGTCCTCCTCCTTGGTTCAGAGTGCTTTATTCTATTCCTGTCCCCAGAAGCAATGCTCTAATGTCACAAAAGAGACCGTACAAGAGAGCAAACCCATCCTCTCCACTATATTAACCACAGACTCTGCTGATTTGCAATAGTAACATCATCTTTATATTTAAAGATAGAATTTCAAATGTGTGTGTCTAAGAGATTCCACAGGGCTATACTATATTATATTCTTTTTCTTCTTTTTATTGACACTAATAAATATTCTTTTTCCTTCCTTTTGGTGCTGGCTATTGAACTCAGGGTCTTGTGCATGTGCTCTATCACTGAGCTACCCCACAATCCCTATGTCCTCTTTTTCTGATCTAACCTGAAGCCAATACCAGAAGTCCTATTAACAGAGTTGACAAATGAAGATCCACAAATGATCCTTACCAGCAACTAAATGGAAAAACAACCCCTGAAAATCAGAACCAAAAAAAAGCTAACTACTTCTCTTCTCCCCACTCTGGCAAAAAGCCACAGCTCTTTCTCCCCATCTCCCACAGCCTTTTAGGAAAGGGGCATCTGCGGCTGCACCTCCTCCAACTCACTTTCTGCGTCAAATAGTATGGGTCAAAGTCCTCCAGGGGAACCGCAACCAGGCCTTGGGGGATGTCCCCGTAGATAAAAGGCAAACTCTTCCCTGCTTCCAGGTCACTGTTTGGCTTGGGCTTGCTGTCTTCATCGTCTTCTCGATGGCTGCCATCGGCCTTTGGTGGTTTCTTGAGCTTGCTCTCAGCAATGCGCCTCTCAATATTTGCCAGCGACTCAGGGGTGAAAGGCTTGAAACTATCAGGGCCTGGTGGTGCAAGCAGCCGCGCTGCCATCTTCTCATCCTGCAGCAGCTTCGTTAGTTATGCTGCGTCCAGGACAGGTCAGCTCTAGAAGAAACAGCAACACAGACAGCATTAATCAATCACTGTTCTAAAAAGAGGCCAGACTAAACCATCTCACTCTCAACCCTATTCACAACCTTTGCAACACATAGTCTCTTCCATGACTTCTTTTTTCTTCAGGAAATCTGTGGCATGAATGGACTAGGTAATGTTCATAACCACCCCTCACGGAATGATCAGCCTGGGAAATGGAAAGATAGGAGACTCCTGGGTTACTAGCAATTGTTACATTTACTTAGATCCAACTTACTGTTAGAAACCATAGACAATAAAATGAAGTATTCCCTATCCTCAGGGAAGTTCTATTCTAAATTAATAAGGCATATTTAACATTCTGTTGGGCATATGTTAACTCGTGTGGCCTTATATGCTCAGGTCACCTTCCTTTCCTGGATCTCCACTCCCCAAAAAAAAACAGTCCTCTTTAAGGGCAACACAAGGATAAGTTGCTCCTCTTCTCAAATTTCACTTGCTGAAAACAAAATTAGCCCTTAGAAAATCTGCGGGCACAAAATATGAATACAATAGCTTCCGTCTGCTTTAGTCCTTCCACTTCAAGTTATTTTTCAATTTACCAAGTTGTTTAAAATCTATCCACTATAAAAGTCCATAAGTATCTTCTTCTAAGACAAAGCTCCTGCCTGAGACAAACACTAAACATGGTTTTCTGTGGTGAGGGCAGACACTTCTCTATAAATACCTCCTGCTTGGCAATGAGAAAAAGCAAGTGCGAGTGGAATTCCAGAGAGCTTGTTCTGTCCTGCCATGTTGGAGACCCCCAGAGGGGCTCAAGTCCAAAGTATGAGGCGTGAAAATGGAGAAACAACCCAAAATTCTTTTCTAAAAATGAAAGACTAAATGCATACCGGAGCTGGGGACTTCTAAGCCTGGTATTTGAAAAGCCGGGTTATCCATATACAAGCTTTAAATGGAGGAATTCTGGTGGCAAAAGCAACAGTGTTCAGTTCCTGCCAGAACACATAGACAGAGTCTGGCAGCTCACCTGATGCTCAAAGTGCCACTTTCTTCCATTAGCTTTGTGGGCTCTAAAAGGACAACCCGGGAAAAAATTTAAAAGGTTAACAATTCTTTTCCCTCCTACTTAGCCCTCAGTGTCCATTTCAAGGCAAGAATTCATAAAACTTGAAGTTCCTCAAGAGAATGGTAGTAGAATTAACTCTAAGTAATTTGGGAGTGCAATTTCTGAGAACTCTTTTGTGAATCCACCTGCTCTGTAACCCCCATCCCCACCCCCACCCCACCCCCACCCCAGGCTCTGTCTATTGGTGGTGACTGCAGGGTGCTGCTGTGCAGCCTAGAGCATCTGTATGTGGGCTGGGCAGTTCACCTACTTAAAGCCCAGGGTTGATAAGGCCAGAACAACACACTTATCCCAGGTAGGTCCACATCGTTAGCCTCATGCTGCAGAGAAAAACATTCCACAGACAGGAGATGGGGCCAGAAAAATAACTGCATAGGATTAGAGCTGCAAGACATGTAGGTCCAGTCATTCCATTCTGTAGATGAGAAGGGGTCTTAAGAGACGGCTTACCCAAAGTCCCAGGGCCAGGATTAAAAGTCACAGCCAAGAGCTCTGACATCTCATACTTCTTTTATTACAACAATAATCAGTTACCCACATCCTATCATATCTCCTATTAGTCCCCTAAAGCAATAGACTGGTACATTAAGGAAATCAAATAAAATGTTATGGCTCTACTGATCCAAGACTTTATTTACAAATATCCCCCCAACATTGAATCCTTTCTCTTTCATTCCTTTCCTCCTGCCTATTAAATAAACCCCTCCTTCTCCACAAAGCCTTCCTAACAATTCCAGCCTTTGTTAATTCTTCCCTTTGTGCTCCTACAACGCCTCCATCATGATCAGAGCTAACACTGATCATGGGCTATTTCAAGCTCTTTGCTTGCATTAACTTACTTGTTTCCGAAACAACATATGAGGTAGGTATTAACACCATTTAACAAATGAAGAAACAGAGGCTTAGAGAACTAATACTCTTGTCTGAAGTCACACAGCTAGAAAATGACAAAGTCAGGACTCAAAACACCTAAAGTCACTTGTTTTGACACTTAAAACCACTGCCAAAACCAGAACCCACAATGGAACCCCAAAACTAGGACTCCCTGGCTTCTATATTCACATTCATCTTCAACCCTAGGTCACTCTTCTACTCAGAGGACAAAGAACACTTAGGATGCTGACAAATTCTAGTGATGTAACTGCAGGCAGCTGGGCTCCTCATGGCAGTCCACAGCTAGGTCCTCTGCTCTTGCTCTGCTTCCTCTTGCCTTCTTCAGGACAGTGTCCCCTCAGTCATCTCTGCTTCCCAGCATATCTTCAACCTTCCTTTTTCCTTCCTCTATCTTTTCCCTGTACATCCTCATCTTCCAACTCACTCCTCATTCAGCCTCAGTAACACTATGTTATCTTGGTTCTAAACACAGATGTAGTCTCCTCTCTCCCTCCTCCTCTAAGGGTTGGCCTTCTGAAATTTCTGTTACACTTTTTCTTTTAGGGATCTCAACTACTCAAAATAATCTGTATACAATGATTTTCAAATTTCTGTCAGCAGCTCTGACTGTTCTGAGTCCCTCAGTTATCTCAAGGGGACTTGTCAACATTTCAAAATTCAAGCATTTAAAACTACTCTTACTTCCAAAGTGGATTCCTCCCAACTTTCTCATTTTTGTTACTAGGACCATGTTTTTTCCAATCATCTAACATGGAATCTCAGTCACCTCTACCCAGTTCTCCTTTGATATCTACAACAAATCAGTCACCAGTCTTCCCAATCCTTCCTGCAGAACCTCCATTTTCAATTGCATCATCTACTGCAAAAGGTCCTACTGCAAAAGCCTCTCCCCTGGTAGATCATCCTCAATCTACCAGGTACATCTCCAAAGATCTTTTTCACCAAAAATCCTGCTTTCATTATGTTATTTCCCTCCTGCAAACCTACCAGTTAAAGAACTGATTCCAGACTCCTGTCATGTCACTACTACTCAAGGCCTTCAGTGACTTTATGCTTCTCAAGCATTCTCTTCCACTGGTTCCCTGCAAGAACATCTGCTCTGGTGACTGTTGTCTGTTTTTTAATGTTTCTTTCTAAAGGTAATCATAATACAATATAGTAAATGAATCTGCAGTACACAACTTGATTATTCTGTACAAATGTGTACATCTGTGTAACAACCTCTAAGATCAAGACAGAGAAGATTTATTTCTCAGATGGCTCTCGTAAGCTCTCTTATCAATAACCACCTCCAGTAAATGTTGTTCTGACATCTATCACTATAGATTAATTTCACTGCTTCTTGAACTTCACCTAAGTAAAATATAAACAACTCCTGGATGTATGGCTTCTTTCTAACCTTATTTCTATGAATCCACCTTTGTTGTGAGTATAGCACACATTCTTTTGTTGCTGTGTAGTATTCCATGTATACATGTAGTACAATTTATTTACCAATCTACTTTTACAGCCATGTAGAATATTTGTCATTTTAGGCTATTATGAATAAAAGCTACTAAGGACATTCCTGTTTATGTCTTTTGGTGGCCATATATATTCCCATTTTTTGGCATATAACAAGGGGAAGAATCTGGGTCAGAAGGCATATATTTAGCTTTAGTGATATTCCTATCAACAACATAAGAGAATTCCAGTTCCTCTACTTCCTCACCAACATTTGTAAAGGACAGCCTTAATTTCACCCATCCTGGTGGGTGGACTATAGTATCACACAGTTTTGTTTAAAAAATTATTTATTGAGGTAAAACACATAAAATTAACTATTTTTAAAAAGAAAAACTCAGTAGCAATTTAGTTCCAAAACCTTCCCATCATTCTAAAGTAAAACCTCTTGTCCATTAAGCAGTTCAGTTTTTCCCCATCTCCCTACCGCCAGTCCCAGTTGCTTGTAACCATCAGTCTACATTTTCTCTCTACTGATCAATTCTGAATATTTCATATCAAAGAAATCATTCCATATGCATCTTTTTGTGTCTGGCTTCTTAGAATAACAATTTCAAGGTCCCTTCACATGTAGCATATAACAGTACTTCATTCCTTTCTATGGATGAATGATATTACATATGTATATATTACAATTTACATATATATTCCCCCATTGATAGACATTTGGGTTCGTTCCACCTCTTGGTTATTATGAATAGTGTATACACATGTACTTGTCTTAGTTCCCATGTTAAATTTTTCAAAGCATGGACCTAGGAGTGCAATCGCAGAGCCACATGGTAATTCTTTGTTTAACGTTTCTGTAGAACTGCCAAACTATTTTCCACAGCAGCCTAACCATTTTTCATCCTCAATAGTAAAGTAAAAAGGTTACAATTTCTCCACTACCTTGTCAAACTTGTTAGTTTCCCTTTTTCCTATCCCTTCCCTTCCCTTATTTCAAATTATGACCATCCTAGTTATGAGGTAGTATCTCTTTTTCATATTTGCATTTTCCTAATGACACTGATGCATTTTTCATGTGTTTGTTGGTCCACTACATGTTTTGTTTTGTTTTGTTTTCCACTTTGGTAGTGGGGATTGAACCCAGGGGCACTTTGCCACTGAGCTACCTCCCTGGGACTTTTCTTTCTTTTTTTTTCTGAGACAGAGTCTTACTAAATTGCTTAGGACCCTACTAAGTTGATAAAGTTGGCTTTAAACTTGTGATCCTCCTGACCCAGCCTCCTGAGTCACTGGGATTACAGGTGTGCACCACCATGCCTGGCTTCAATACAATTGTAATTTTCAATGTTTGATGATACGGAACATCTTTTCCTAGGTTTACTGTCTATTTAGACATCTGTTCTACAAAGTGCAGGTTTCAATCTTTGCTCACTTTCTTCTCTTGTGTTTACATTTTTCTAATTATTTTATGGCAGTTCTTTATCTACTCTCTATATAAGTCCAAGTATTCACCTCACCTTTATTTTCTTAGTGATAT